AGCAAGCAGAGCTCTTCCACGGACTCTATCATTTCTGACACCAGCTTCCCAAGTTGAATTCCTATACTGATTTCCTTCAATGATGGACTATAATCTGGAACTGTACACTGAGATAGACTCCTTATTTCTCAATGTGTTTTAGAACGTGGTGTTTTATCACAGGAATAGAAACCCGAAGCAAGACAATGTTCCTGTCCCCGTAAAGAGTAAATTACACTCTATTTCCAAAGATTGGAAGAGCATTATCTAAATATTTCCTGCATATGCTTTTGTTTGATGTGCTTGGCTTATACATCTCAGTAGTAAAAACGACTTAATATTCCTATGATAAACCTTTCCTAATTTTCATGAATAGAAATATACCACTACAGATAATGACAACAGTGGCATCTAATGGTCACTTGTACCTGCAGTTCTGTGACCACGGAAGATGTAATTCACTGACTAGCCAAAGTCTGCCCCAAATTATTAACTCATTCAATAACCAGTTACTGCTCTATACTAATAACTCATGGTAGAGAAACATGGTTTATCTTTTAATATATTGAAATACCTATAGATGATCTTGAGAGATAAGTCAGTAGTTGGGTGCGCTTGCTGCCCTTCCAGTGAGTTCATGTTTGCATCTCAGCATCCACATCAGGCTAACAACCACACCTATCTTCAGATTCAAAGAATCTGCTCCCCTCTCTGGACTACACGGTCAGTTCCACACATGTGGCATCCACTATGACATACACAAGTGCACATAGGGTAAAAACAAGAATAAAAATGGGGAAAGAAGCTAAAGGCAGGACAGAGACACAATTTAAAGACAAGAAAATATGTCTGTAAATTAGGAACTCAAAGGTCTTCAGAGAAGATGAAACTAGACCATAAATATTTTCTGCTGTGTGTACACACACATTTGTGAACACACAAATTTGACAAAAAGCATTTGAAATTTAACAGAATTGTTTGGGAATGTGGGCAAGAGTGGAAGTGACCACCAGAAGCTTGACTTCAGAAGGCATGCAATGCAGAGCAGAGACACACAGCAGACTATAAACTCTGACCTCATCAGAAGAAGGATAAACAAGGGGAAAATTTATTTGTATTTAATTTGTCTTGGGAAAAAGAGAGTGGTCTCAGATGGATTTATTACTTGAACCCCTCACAAGTCTCAAGTTAATAGAAGCCAGTCAGGAGACTGGCATCTTTTCAGTGCTGTTGAAATACATCAAAGTATTATTGTCTCCTTTCTCTCCTTCCTCTATCTATTCATGGTGTCATGTTCATGAGTGCCAATAGGCACTTTAAAATATATGTAGCATATATTTATACCACTAAGCTTCTGACAAACTTGCCTTTGATTTTTGTTTTAAATAACATCTGACATGTAACTGTGCTCACAAATGTTTGTGAGATAAATAAGTGAATTGAGAGGCCAGAGCTTAAAAGAATATTTGGATGAAGCATGATTTAGAAAAACTCAGAGAGACCTCCATTCCATCTATCAGACTCTGTAAGCTACAAATCCTACTCCATCCCCAAACCCTCCTGTCCCCTGAAACCTCAGAGGAACTCTAAAATACAGGCTGCAGATATACAGAGAGGACAAAGAGGTGAGTAATTACCCACCCAGTGGGGCACTGCACTCTCTAGGTCCTCCATACAAGAGCAAAACCCTGCCCCCACCACCTCATCTTCTCTAGCCAACCAGCAGGAAAGCTTCCTGCAGGTGGTTTCACCCAACACCCCCATCCCATCAACTGGACCCAGAAAGCTACAAATCTAAGCTCACCAACTCCAGCCAGACAGTGAAGAAACAAGAATAGGTCCAAACTAGTCCCTCTGAATGTGGTTGACAGTTGCATGACTGGGCAGACTGCAGGGACACCGGCGGTGGCCCCAGGGTTTATTTCTACTGCATACACTGGCTTTTTGGAAAAACCTATTCTCTTTGAATGGATACATTTGCAGCCTAGATATAGTGGGGAGATCCTTGGACCTTCCCCAAAGCAATGTGTTTTACCTTCTATATTGAGTGGGTGGAGCTGGGGTGGAAGAGGGAGTAGTGGAGGGAAAAGAGGAAGAGAGGGAGTGGGAACTTTGATTGGTATGTATAAGGAATAAAAGATAGTTTGCTCTCCATGCTGCTCCATGCTAGAATTCTGACTGGCTTGATTTTCAGCATGTCTTGTGCTTGCATCCACAGATGTGAGTACATGAATGCTGACTATAGCGTCCACCGGAAACTGGCCATTGGGCACTCTGGGACACCAGTTTCCACCACTGGGAGAACATTTCTCTAGGTGATGTATCATCTAGTCTGTGTTATTTTGCTATAGTAACTCAAACAGATTCAGACAATCATATTCCTTCATATGAATATACTATTTAATCAGTTCGTTTGTGATGGAGCTTGAGGTTTTGTGTGGCCCCCTGCTATTGTAAATAATGTTCCTAAAATTAACTTTTATACATGTCATTTCGTGTTTTTCCAATCTATCTCTGGGGGAAAATGTAGATGAGAAATTATTAAACCAAACAGTAAACACAATTGTAATTTTAAAAATATAAACAAATTCTAGGGTTTACAGAATCTTTCCATGTGTTTTAAGTTTTAGGATCAAGTATGGATATATCATTTTATCATTTTCTTTTACTTTCAGAAAAATCTTTTGGACATATGGATTATATACATTGTCTAATACAATATGTAGCAATTCCTGAATCAAGTTCCTCTCTGAATTCAACATTACTAAAACTCTCGTCTTTTGAAAGGACATTGTGTTCCTTGTCTTAGTTCTCTTTCTTTTGACATGACAAATCACTATGACCAAGGTGACTTGAAAAGAAAGCATTTAATTTGAGGTCTCACAGTTCCTGAGAGTTAGGTCCATGACTCTTGTAGATGGGAACAGGGCAGCAGGCAGAATGGCATGGTGTGGAGCAGTGTCTGAGAGCTTACAGCTGATCAAGCCAGGCAGAACTCTAGCATGGAGTGGCACGGAAAACATTTTATCTCACCTTTGGCTTAAGCACCATAGGTAGTTGGCAGTCACTGAGAGAGGGAGAGCTGTTTACTTCAGCTCTGTGGCTCAAGGTAGGTTGCCTGTGCTAAATATATGGCACCCTATAAACATGTCAATAAGGGAAGCACTGATTGGAGCCAGTGGATTATAAAATCAAAGAAGAATGCATGGAGCTAAGAGAGGAATTGAAAAGGTGGTGTGGGAGGAGCGGGGGCCTGAAAGCAGAAGACAGACATAATCTAAATACACTTAATGAAATTAAAAAGAACTTAAGACATTTGCTATATGATGATTGACTGATAGTGGTTGGCTTTATTTGCTCCTGAAGTGGAGGGACCACCCCATGAATTGGAGGTGGGGCTGCTGAGAACCAGGAAGTGGTGAAAACAGGTGCCTCTGTGCTCTCATTTGCTGGTTCACTTTTAGGGTTTTCCCACACAACTGCATTTAGTAAGTCCAAGGATTAAGACATTTGTAACTAAAGACTTATGAAATATTGACAAATATGATGAGAAAATTCCTATAGAACTAATATGAAAAACAATTTCCTAGCAGTGCTTTGTAGACGAAAAATTCCTCTTCATGTGACAGCGTATTTATTACCAAACTATCAGGTTAAAAAATGAGGCAGAGAGAGCTAAGTAGAGATAACATCAGCTTTGAAATCTCAAAATCCACTCTCAATGACACATCAGGCTATCAAACTTCCAATAAGGCAATACCTTTTACTCTCTCCCAGAGAGTTTTCTCACCCTGGGGACTGAGAATTTCAATACATAAGTGTATTGGCAGCCATTCCCACCATGGCCACCGCATTCCCTCAAATGAATTGACAGTCTGGGAAGGAATACTCTAGACCTCACCTTTCCTGTGGGGGGAAAAATATAATCAAAGTGAATGAAGTCAGATGCTTGTCACCTATCCAGTTCACAAAGACTGACCCATGCACTCTTGCATTGTTTAACCATACTCAGGATGGAATTGGTGTTCTCTGAATGCACCATTCCATGCGACTGTCACAAAAGGCACCAGATTAGAAAGAGATGGCAACAGAAAGAGACTTCATTCAAAAAAGTCATTTTTTTCTGCTGCATCCCGTAATGCTAACTTGTGCCTTACAGAGACAAGTTTATATTTTTTAGTGAGGACATGAACCACAGCTCTCACGCGGTACGACAACTGAAAGCATTCATCATCCCTACACCCTCCCATCTTTAAAAACTTTTTTTCCATTTACAAAACTAAAAGCCATAGCTTCTGTTGGCATTAGTCAGCTTAGTTTGTGGGGACTGAATTTGCAAACACACACACAAATCAATATATTAACATACTCCTGTAGCCGTTGTTGTGGAGAACACTTTCCAGAGGTATGAGTTGGAAGCTGCAGACTTTAAAGAAGAGGCAGAAATGAGACAAAGAATGCCTAACAAGAGGAAGGGAGTTGAGAAGGAGCTAGGATGCTGGGTGGGAGACCCTGTATGAAGTGATTTAAAGTAGTGAGTCTTTTTCACACAGTAAAACATCTACAATAAATTTAACTAACTTTCGGAGTCTCTTATGTCTAGATGGAATTTGCCTGTGAGATCCACCAGTTTCTCAGAGGGGTGACATCATGGTAAACACAAACCACAGACTACCTAGAAGGTTCCTATCCCCAGGATATTCGGCTTCATGCTTTGGAACTTCTGTAAAAGTAGGTAAAAAGATACCACAGCCATCTCCTATAATTTTCCACACAGAGAAAATCTTGATACATTGTTCTAGAAAAGTTTTTCCTATGTTTATTTTATTTTTCTGGAGTTTATGGGGAAAAGAAAGTGGAAAAGGTGAACGGGGTAAAAAGAAAAGGAAATTATGGAAAGAGTTAATGTATTTCAGCGATGTGTTAAAGTTACATTCATTGTCTAGAAAAGGGATAATTCCTGCTCAAAATTATCTGGTTCTAATACTATTAGAACAAAAACAATCAGACAGACTTCAAAATAACAATAAAGAATAACAATATTTTATTGGAAAACATAAGACAATAGGGCTTTTAAAAAGTTACATTTGTTATGTTCCCTAGGGACAGAGGTTAAATATATATCCATTCATAACAATATTTCACAACATAAAGGGTCAACTTCTTACCAACACAGCACCAAATAATGAATTGTGCCCATCCAAATTTGTGCCTAAAATTTCTGAAGTGATAGATTGAATTTTAGGATTATATGAATACTTAAAAGATTAACATATTTTAAAAACATACTCTTCAAAAATGCACCAACTTTAATATATATTATGTTACCAAAATCCACCTTAAATATTGACAAACCACAGATGCTGTAATAATTATCTAGGAACAAAGTTAGTCAAATGTTTGATTCCCTTCAGAGGTAATAGGTTGCCAGAACATTCAGAGTCAAAGTAATTATCTAAGAGAACTTTAGAAATACTTTAGGCTTTCAATTTTTGGTCTTTTATTTGTTGACTGTTTTAGAAGAAATTAGCTGACTAACTTAACTGAGTGTACTTTGCTTAATGGAATGCTAGGGCAGAGAAGAAAGTTTCTGGGCACTAGATCTGGACAGACTGTGTCCATATTATATTTCCTGTATTTTGGAGCTTTGTGTGTGATTTAGATCATTGAAGAAGTCCCCTTGCTTTAACAAATTTGAAAATTATCTCCTGTGAATTTATTTGATACTTTAAGATAACGTATGATATGTGCCAAAAACATGAACAACATAATTTTCATCTCTACTAGGATAATAGAATGTTATTACTTCAAAAGTACAAAGTATAACAGATCAAATCTTAGATCAGAATGGAAGTGGACCACTCTGTTACACATGTAACTAGTTATTATTTTAGTTCTCCCCTTTTATGTTATGCCCTAAACTAAATAAAACAACCACTTCTAAAATGAGACACAGTAATAAATTGTTTTCTAAAAACAAACTAAACTAAAACTGAGCACCTTAGAGTATACAATCATGTAAAAAAGGAAAAGTGAAGGCCGTACCAGACTCTCCACTTCTGAGGAAGGTGTGTCAGTAGAGTTGAGCTTGCTGTGTGGTTCTAATGTTGGAAGATCCAGGGAGAAAAACTCCAAGGCAGTGCAAGGTAAATTTTCACTAAGCTCAAATGGCTTTTAACCAAAGGTTTATGAGTCACTACAAATTGCTTTTAGAAACACCAGAGGGCGCCAGGGCCTGAAGCATGGTTAACACAGGGGTAATTTTAACTTTCAAGTCACACACACACACACACACATACACACACACACACACACACACAGAATACCCACTCGAAGAAAAAAATAACTTCTAAAGAAATATATTTACATGCAATAACATTGTATAGTTAAATAAAGAGACAACAGATCAACTGTCATACTTTGGTGAAGATAGAATTTTTGCTGTTACTTCTGAATCAAGAATTGAGTAAGCATAAGTAGTAGTTTTAAAATGGTTGACACTAGCAATTCATTTAGCACCATATAGTTAGCACCAGAATAGATAAATACTGGTAATTTACACCTAACAATAACAACTGTAGTTTCAAAGAAATTTCAAAATTGTAATCATATGGTGATTGTAATTTTCAGCACCATTAACCAGTGACTTGTTAAACATCCTCAATTTTAATCATTTTATAATTCTACGTTGAGCCATGACACAATTTTAAAAAGGCGTCTTCACCCATACATATAGCAATATAAAACTTTCATAAAAACAAAGACAGTTTTAGTTATTACTAGAAATATAACTTTATCCCCCCTAAATACTTCAGTAGATAAAACCTTCCATCTATGTTAGGATTTGCATCCTATGATGCCGTGAAACCTAAGGGGAAAGACAGCAACAGTTTCTGCATTGCTTTTCCCTCTGGAAAATATTCAGGTCATCGATTTATTTTTGCATTATTTACCAAGCAAGGTATAGACACTTAAAGTGTCTATTATTTACCAAGCAAGGTATATACACTTAAAGTGGTATAAAGATGCACTGGGTTTACTAGGGTAGACTCTATGGATTTGCTTAATACAAAAATATGGGAAATACTTTGTTTCAATTAAAATTTTCAGAATAGGCTTTATTGGTTGGACTCACCCCTTCTTTTGCTCTGCTCTGTGCTAGTGTTGCATAGAAATTAGAAGTGACATTTTTGTGAATATCTCAAGTGCAGGTGACAGTAGAGCCAGATACAATTTCTAGAAAAGTTGTGAAGGGCCACAGCCATGATGATGCCAAAAGCAAAAATAATAGTACTAATAACCTCGGCCTCTATGTTATTAAAGCAAGCTTCTCTATCATTAAAAGAATGTTAAGACCACACCTACTCAGTTCACAAACATTCCTATAAAGTAGTGCATCAATTTTGTAGTGAAAATCATGGACTTCATTTTAGTTGTTTTTCCCACGTGAAAGCCAAAATGTTACTTTTCTACAAAATAAATAGCATTGGGGGACATTAATGAAGTTAGTCATATTACTTTTTAATGAAAGATTTCAAAATAAAAATTTTAATACTGACTATTTAATGCTGCCTGCTTTAAATTTATAACCAGACCTGTTTTACCTCTGAGAATTACAGTGCAAATCCATTAACCTAGCACCCCTGTGAAAATGTAAGACATTGTATCTCATTGTATCACAATGATACAAGAAAAACTATCATTTGCATTAGACCAGGAAAAATATTTTCACGTAGCTATTTTATATACCAACATTAAAAATTACAGACAGAATAGCAAACATACCCGTTGTATTTTCAACTTAGTTGTTAAGTTTTAACAGTTGTTTTGTAATCCTGCAGACCCTAGTTTCAATGTCATCCCATGGATGGTTCATTTGAAAGCTTTTACATTTTACATGCAAACCTTCATGCTTTAGAGATTTTTAGTCTTTAAAAGCAAGGAAAGGCAGAATTAGTTTCAACTTTTACAAGTTTAGACTTTTAAACTAATTCTGAAAACTCCTCTGAACTAAACATTTATTACACTCCAGACACTGGATAACACGCTATGATAAATGCAATGAATTACATGGAGATCATGCCAAGGAGAAGCTCTGGTACTGATCATTTTAATATTCATAAACTTCTGCTAATATGGTGAGTTAACCTTCATGAGCAAACCTGTGAGCTACATATTAAATATCATTATTCTTCCTTCAATTTGAGAAATCCAATTACTCATGCAAAAGAGAAAGAAACCTGGAAATGAGAGTTGTAAATTTCTGTTCATACAGTTTTTCCTTCAGTAACATTAAGAATGAAAACACTCTTAGGTGTGGCAAGCAGTTACCATCAAAATGAAATTCCATTGGATGGCCAGATGGCACACACGTGTAAATTTGAAAGTTAGAGACAAGAGGCTCAAGAGTCAGTCATTCTTGACTACATAGTGAGTTTAAGGTCAACCTGGGCTGTGTGAGACTGTCTCAGGGGAAATAAAGTGAAAGAAATAGAAAAAAAATTGAACGAAGTCTATATTGGATAATACTTTTATCTTCTATTGTATTCCTGAAATGGTTCTTTAAATTAGGACCATATATGTTTCCACAAGGCAGGGTCACTTAATAGTAAAACATTTGGTTCCAATTGTCAGTGTTTAAAAGTAATTAGACCATTTGTTTGACATCAAGTAGGCCCAGTATCCAGATGGATTCTGCTCCCGTTGAAAGGATCTAATTAACGATCTGCCATCTTTCAATGCATGCACCTAAGAAACCGTAGTTGTGTATGTTAAATAAGTAGCTTTCTTCTGTTGTTTGTCCTCTGAAATTATCATGTTTACTTGCTCTGTGAGTCTGTACTCATGTTCACATGTGTGCACATGTGTGTGCACACACACATTTGAAATATAATTTGTTCCACGTCTTGTCCCAGATATTGTATTATCCTCTCTGAAAAGGACTTTGTAAATTAAGCCATTTTTTCCTAATCTCACGAGGGAAGGTTTTGTGATTATTCACTTGATTTTCATAAACAAAGTTAATGAGGAACTGAAAATCACTTCTCTATAAAAATGAAGTCCCATAATTAGTTCTGTGAAAAACATCCACCAAAGGCTATAGTAACAAAATTGACTGCATGTGGTATTTATGGAGGATCTTGGATATAATATTCAAAAGCTCAGGGTAGTAGGTAGGTGACCTTCTCCAACTAATGGCAGGGAAACCAAGGAGATGAATGTGCCCTCAACTCTACGCATCTTTCTAAAATCCTTTATCCTTTGTTCGTGGGTCCCAAGATGTATTCAACTCTTCTGGAGCTTCTGGCTGGTCTTTGTGTACCAGCATGCTAATCCCATGATTACTCATGCCTCTTATTCTCTTGGACTTCATCAGTATTCTGAGAATCATGTTTTCAGTCTAGCCTATTCTGCTCCAGAAATCCTTGAGCAGTTGTTGATTCTTATATAGTTTGGTGGTTTGAATAATGACTCCCACAGGTTTATATATTTGGGTATAGGATCTTACTCAGACTTTTTAGCAAGAATGAGGAGGGATAGCCATATTGGAGAGGGTGTAAATTTGTCATTATGGGTTGACTTTGATGTTTAAAAACCCTGGCCTGGCGCAGTCTTACTATTCTTGCCTCCTGCCTGCAGGTCAGGGTATAAACGCTCACCTACTGCTCCAGTACCGCACCTCCTTCCTGCCTATCTTCATCTTCCCATCAGGATGACCATGGACTAATCCCCTGAAACTGTAAGCAAGCCCCTAGTTAAATACTTTCTTTTTATAAGCTTCTTTGGTCATGGTGTCTATTCACAGCACTATAACTAAGACACCTTCCATATCTCACTTAAATATTGGAGTTTCCTGGGAAACAGACACTTCATACGTGAGACAGCAGCCTTTATCATCCATTCCACCCTTAAGTGGTTAATATGTTTGTTCCTCAAAATACATGAAATATGATTATTTAAAAATAATTCATAGCAAAATTACTAGGCTATGCTATTTTGTGGACATCTCTGATAGCTTCTCCAAGGCAGGAATCACATATAATTATTTTTGCATTATCAGAACATAATCAGCAAAGTGAATTAGTCAAGGTAATTGTTAGATGAATAATCAAAAGATTAACTCATTCAAAAAATTCAAAAAAAATAAAACTGATCAAACTGAGTGTTATGGAAATGTCCATAAATTTAGCATACACTTTAGAGACCCAAATAAAATTAAGTATCTCCAGAACAAATTCTATAATTACTTAATTAAATAATCTTCAAATACCACTGATTTGCAAACAGTCCTTTCATGGGTGTGATAGAAATGGTCCATAAGCCCAAATACATTTTTCATTTTCCCTTGTTAGCGATCGCATCATATTACTGTCTATGTGTCACATCACACATCATATGTGCATGTATATACATACATATGTATACATAAGAATACACAAATATTACAGCTTGAGCATACATTTCATTCCTTAGGGACATAGTAACATAATTTCCCTGAATACAGGTTATGGAATTGAAGGCAATGACTATGCCATCACTACATATACAGTCATTTAATTTAAATTTAAGGTCAGCGAAATAGAAATTGATGTTTTGCTTGTATCCAAAACTTAACACCCTAGACAAACACTAGACAACTGACCACTAAAATGAAAATAGGGGTATGATAAAATATGTATAATAAAGTCAAACTTCAACATATATATATATATATATATATATATATATATATATATATATATATATATATACTTATGAGTTCAAAAGCCAATGTATCTCCCAGAGGAATAAAAATACAAGCTTATTTAAACCAGTACAAGTAGTTTGATGTCACTCCTGGAAAGCACAGATTGTCGGTACAGGCTCCCCCGTAACTCGGAGGACACGATGAACACGGCACTCCTACTTTGTATGGTGCTTCTCCAATCCAGTTACCCCTTAGAAGAAAAAGGAAAAGACGGCATTAGTGCTGCTCACTCACCCCAAAGTCAGAAGACTTCTCCGTACATGTCCACACACTCCTGACATGTGAGGAGCATATTTTATAAGGTCCTGAAAATTACATTCATTTTTTTAAAAAAATTTCAAAACACATTATTCCATATTTCTTGCTTTTAAAATGCTTTCTATCTGAATAGATGAAGAGAATCTTAACTGATAGGTAAGTAATAACGTCCTATTTACAATTTCTGGTGATAGTATAAGTCATGAACACCAGGCTCCATCCATCCACTACATTTGTCTTCTACTCTAGCAGCATTCTAGGGCACAAGGCCAGGTCCCAGTTCCATTTAATATATGAGAGAATAATAAAAAAATGGTCACAATGCTCATAAGATTTATTTTTAAAGTTAGAAAAATTTAAAATTCTAATCTTTATAAAACCAGGAGTCAACTATTCAATTGGCTCATAGGCACAAAAGTGATCCTCAAAACTTTTTCCGCATAGGAAACCAAACCTGTCAGTTTTTAGTTGCTGCTCTGTGATCATTCATGGTTTGAGTACCTACAACTACTTGATTGGTCCTTCTCGCTACAATGACACAGTGATTACAACAATGAAGCTAATTCTCTGTGCAGAATATCTGAGCAAGACTATTGCTGCTGGGCTTTTGTTCTTTACATTGTAGTAAAGGATGACAATGACTTATTTTCAGTATCAGACTACTAACAGAGACAGCAAAATAAAGGAAATTAAATGAAGAAGAAGTTTGGCTATCGATGCTAAAACCAGGGTTGAGCACAACAGATCTTAGCGTGCATTTAACCTAAACAAGACCTGGAGGTGACTTTGAAGCACACATGTAGGATGTAAAATTAGTACTACTCAGCTGCGAATTTTGACCAATTTCAACATATGAAAGTATGCACGTTAAAAATTCAATAATTAACTGTTCATATCACAAACTGAAATGGAAGTTTAGGATTCCCCGCTTTCACTTAATGGAGTCTACTGTCTGCCTGGAGGATAGGATTTCTCTCTCGATGTCATTTTGATGACATCACAGGCCTATCTTGAAGCACTCCAAGCCTCTCCTCCTATCATGTGACTTATATGTTCTCATCTTCTCTTGAATCTTCTGACCCTGTAATAAAAATCTTTTCTCTCACTATCTATTTATTCAAAGGTATATGAGAACAGTATATGGAATGAGCCTGTTATATAATTTTACATTTCTACTTATTTTTTAAATATTTCTTATTTTTTTAAATATTTAAACTCTCAAGAATGTGTTTTGAAAACAAAACCCAGAACTGAAAGCTTATTATGTGTAATATATCATATGTCACAAATTTCTAAAAAAACATACTTATTATTGAATAGAGGATAATAATGTTCAACAGTAAGTCAGTCAATTCATACATCATCCATTTTTTCATTTTTTTGTTCAAATCCACTTATTTACATATTATCTCTCTTCTATTTATTTTCTTTCTTTCTCATTTTTTCACTGAAAGGCTTAGCCTACAGAAAACTTCAACTGAAAAAATAATATTAAACTCCCAGTCAAGATTTTAAGTCTTAATCACCTATGATTTTTATTAAGACCATAAAATATTAGTTTTTTATTAAAACTATAATACATTAATTGCATAATACATTCATGTCTTTTAAAGACTGTCATACATTAACGTTAGTGCTATAATATATTAATGTTAGTGCAATGCCTTATATTTGGGGCCTAAAAATCAATAGATACTATTAGGAAATTTTATTATTTGGCTGAAATAGAGGAGCTAAATAGATTTTTAAAATCTCTCTTTGATGATCTATTTAAAACTTGGCCAGTTTCTCACAGGGAGGGAGGATAAATGCGTAATAGGAGGATATATAATTAAAATAGCAAACAAATGCAAGGTTTAAATTTCTTTTGAAAGTATTTTTCAGACTCCTCATTGCAATAATTCTGAAGAAAAATCATAAATTTTCTTTTTTTAAAAGCAGGATTAGCCCAAGCCCACCACCATATCAACGAGTCTTGTGGTTATTTATGACATGCTGTTCCCCTTCCTCCATGTGTTGGAAAAGCTGGAGAAAATCTTTGTCTAAGACTCACTTTGGAAGGCACCACAAGTATTAAAAATCCCTTCCACATTTGACACTTATTCCAAATGGGAAGAGAACTCTGTATAAATATGGGAACAATTTCTCATCCTCAGAGTTACAGCTATCAAGAAGGCATTTTATTTAGTGTTAGTAAATGTTTATCGATCTTTATAAGGAATATTCAAACATATAACTAGATTTTGTAATCTTTGGCAAATTAGTATTTTATATATGTAGGCTATAGAATGATGATACCAAATAAATTTTATTCTAAAAAATGAGAGAAGTAAGAAAAAATCTTTTCCAATATGTTTCTTTCCTACAGAAATAGGTAAGCCAACATTCTGGTACTGGTAATTCAGAATATTGTCTGATAACATCTCTAGAGGATGCTTTCTGATACCTTTGATACAGGTGTCAATGATTATGAAACACAGTCTTACACTTAATGTGGCAGAGCAGTGATGGCAAGAAGAACTTAGTGAGTTCAGGAGTCTTAATGCGTAAACCTTACAATTTTAACTCATAACCCTTGTCCCTGTGAAAAGAAACCTTTTACCCTCTCATTTCTCAGATTTGTGGGGATGATCATGAGGTTGGAGATGAAGCGTAGGTGAAGGTGAAGAAGTACTGCAGAATATATTTACTTCTATAACAAAATGATGCCCATCTGGCTGCTGACCTCTAACATTTAGGCTACAGGAAGTGGAACTCAACTAGGTACTTACTTTGGAGCATAATTGCAGACCAAGTACACTGCACGTCGCCACACAGATCCCCACACATTCATGTTTTGACAAGTATGAATCGCACATCCTATTCGATTAGAAGTAGCCCATACCATCTGCAAAAATAAATCAATATCTTCCAAAATTGCTTAAAAATTCAACACTCATCAAAACGAGAAAATCATTTTTTTAAGATAGGAATAAAAAGCAAACACAGAAGTAGAAATGACCTGTGTATAATGAGTGCACATGGGACCAAAGCATCGCATAGGACACCGAGGGTTGCAATCCTGGGGGTAAGGAAAGGCATAATCTTTTACTTCGTCATACCATGGCTTGACCAGCTGGAGAATAGAGCGATATCTAGATGTCAAGAGAAAGAGCAAAAAAGAACTCAGTAAGCAGGAAGATATTTAGTGATCTTGTCTTACACCATAAAAGTGTTCTAATATTGTTCATTATAGCTAGCTCATGTCCACTCCTGAAAATTACTATCCACTCTTTGCTAGAGCTCTTCATTTCTCTGAAAAGAGAAGAGCATGAAAATGCCCAATGAACCTTCATTCATCCAAGTGCACGCTAGGCCATTCCAAAACCAGAAGAACACAAATTATTCAGGAAGCATCAAAGTCTTATTTAAAGTATGCAAAAAATTTACTCTACTAGAATTTTATTAATAGTTTAGATTTATTAGACACATGGAAATAGTTAAAATACTTTAGCTCTCATGAAAGTGTTCATAAGAATGGCATTATAGAATGTTGGTCATGATATTCTACAGTAGAAGGAAACATTCTGTCAGCAAGAATTTTCTCATACTTTCACATACACACGTCTGTGTGCACACTCATGTAAATGTAAATTTTTCTCTTACCAATGTGCCTATTTATTAATTTAATTGTTTATATGCAACTATACACAACAATGGGAATATAAACAACCACACATAGATGACTTCTGCAAAATCATGGAGTTTTTTGTGTGTATGGGGTCGTGGGACAAAATACAGCATGCACAATCCTTTCTAGAATTCATCAGAATCAATGACAAATACAGATAGAGGTAGCATATTCGAAAGTAAGAGAGAAAGATTATCTTATTAGACCTTATGAACTACTTGTATAGCTTTTTAAAATCAAGTTATTCATAACCCAAACATCATTTCCTGACTCACAGAAGTCAGTTGAAAATTGCTAATACTACTTAAAATTGTTACATTTATCATCTGTAGGGTCCATAAATAATGAGGAATAATCATGTGAATAATTGTTTCCTACCTTCCAGTTCGGACAGATAGATTTTGACCCAAAAATCTCAACAAATAAGAAGGTCCATGGTCCCAAATGCAAGTGGCTGCCCAGGCCTCAGCAGATTTTGCAAGATTTTCATCCCAGACCTGTGGAAGTTAAGTAATCCTTCAGTTTTGCTGAATTTGTTTTAATAAGCAAAAAGAAAGAAAAGAAACAATGCTCCTATTTCCGGGAGTTCTTTCAGTTCAGGGTCCTGTGATTATTGTAGCTAAAACCATGTATTAATTATGAACTAAACATAACTATAATAAAATAACTTCAAAGTTCTACAGAGGGTGCTATGTAGATAAAGTGCTTTATATTTTAATCAAATTAAGAAAAATTTTAGTTTTATAAAAAGGAAATTAGTGGAGAGATACTAATATATATATTTACATATAGTAGGTTATTGTTATTTGAAAATGCATGCCAAAATTTGCATGACTCTTTGATTTTATATATGTTCATATTAGTCACTATGCAGATTGGCATTCCCATCTCAATAACTGCATAGAGAGGTCAAGCAAGCCAGCATTGTAGTGGTGTCAACAATAAATTACCTCTGTAAAGTTAGTCAATCAACTTTCTATTAAAGTACGAAGACATAAATATCAGTACTTCTTCTACACAAAAGACATCTTCCATTAATTGGTATAGAGCATTAAACTAACAAATTTAATGTAAAACTATTTCATCCTAGTACTTAAATGAACATTAAAAACATATGTTTTTCAGCTTTCATGGATTTATCAAACATTTATTTTTTAACAAAAATTAGTAAAATAAGGATTTCTGAAATATTGAATGTAGTTTATTGAAATATAAAGCTACACAATTAATTCACTAAAAGGTGATATCATCAATCAACTGCATTTCTTGAAATGTTAATCACAGTTATTTGTGAAAATACATGTACATATCATATATTAATATGTACTGTTCTTCAGTTTTAAAAATACTTTATTACAATCAACTATATGAGTCAAATATATGAATATCAGCATGGTACAAATAGCACTGATATGAAACACAGTGATCTTGTGTTTATACTACTGAGGTCATCAGTGACTGGGGACTGTCATCATCATCTGTCTGCCAGTTAACTCAGTCACAAAACTAGAACACTGGAGGTGACGCCACCTTCAGATCCACAGTCTCATGATTTGGATATACATGAGTAGTCCCAGAGTCAGTGCCAAAATGAGCTATATGATACTGACCAGTGATTGGTCAGCACTGCTGAGAACACGCACTCTACACAAAACAGGTCAAAATATTCAACAAATATCTTTCCTTCATTGTGTGTGTGTGTGTGTGTGTGTGCACACGCGCACGTGTGTGGTGTAGTGTAGTACAGTGCTGGTATATCTGTATGTG